CTTTCCCCCCCCCTCCCCCCCCCCCAATCCAAGGCAGATCAAGGAAACTACAAGTGAAGACCAAGACTATGGATATATGTTACTGGGTTATCTCTCTAGGGATCATTTACCCATTTCACAGAAAAGAAACACTGAGGAACAGTGAATCCATGGCAGAAAACTCATGCATGCAAATAGCATGCAGGGTTGGTAATTCAAGAGAATCAATTAAGCATACAGACGGCAAATCAAGACACACATATGCCTTATATTATCAAAGGATTAAGAACATAAGAGAAGCCAATGTTGGATCAGGCCAATGGCCCATCCAGTCCAACACCATGTCACACAGTGGCCAAAACTCAGGTGCCATCAGGAAGTCCACTGGGGTCCAGGACTCCCAAAGCCCCCCCCCCTGCCCCCCCCCCCAGCGCCAAGAATATAGAGCATCACTGACCCAGACATAATGTTCCATCTATACATTGTGGCTAATAGCCACTCATGGACCTCTGCTCCATATGTTTATCCAATCCCCTCTTGAAACTGTTTATGCTTGTAGCCACCACCACTTCCTGCAGCAGTGAATTCCAAGTGTTAATTACTCTTTGGGTTAAGAAGTACGTCCATTTCTCTGTTCTAAGCTTACTGCTTATTAATTTCATTGGGTGTCCATGTTCTTATATTGTGAAAAAGGGAGGAAAGTAGTTCTTTCTCTACCTTCTCTATCCCATGCATAATTTTGTAACCCTCTGTCATGTCACCCCTCGGCTGTCATTTCTCCAAACTGAAGAGTCCTAACCTTCTTTAACCTTTCTTCATAGGGAAGAAGAAACGTTCACATGTTTAACCTTTCTTCATAGGGAACGTATCCCATCCCCTTAATCATTTTAGTTGCCCTTTTCTCCAGTTTTTCCAAATGAGGCTGCAGCGTAGATTTATACAGGGACATTATGATACTGGCTGATTTGTTTTCAACTTACTTCCTAATAAGCCCCAGGATAGTATTTGCATTTTTATTGCAGTCACACACTGAGTTGACCTCGTCAGTGAATTATCTACCACAACTCCAAGATCTCTCTCCTGGTCAGTTACCTCCGGTTCATACCCCATCAACGTATATTTATAGTTAGGATTTTTGTTTCCCATGTGCATTACTTTGCACTTGCCCACATTGAACTTCATTTGATGCACACTTGCCCAGCCTTGACAGATCCCTCTAGATCCCCTCACAGTCCTCCCTGGTTCTCGCCACCACAAACTTAGCCACTTCATTGCTTATTCCCAACTCCAAATCATTAACAAACAAGTTGAAAATCACCAGACCTAATACTGAGTCTTGCAGTACCCCACTGCTTACCCCCCTGTCCCCTGTGAAAATTGCCTATTTATACTCACTCTCTGTCTGTTTCCTATTAATTAACCACTTTTTAATCCACAAAAGGACTTGTCCTCTTATCCCATGACTGCTGAGTTTACTTCGGAAGCTTTGATAAGGAACTTTATCAAAAGCTTTCTGGAAGTCTAGGCAAACAACATCTACTGGGTCACCCTTGTCCTCATAGTTGTTCACCCTCTCAAAGAACTAATTAAGATTTTATTCATTTATTCATAAAACTTATAAGCCACTGTCCCATAAAAACTCAAAATACTTAACAATGTGAAAGGGTTGCCCTATTCACAAGTTACAGAGAGAGCACGTACAGTTGGTATACTTGTTTATTTATATATTTATTTATTTTGACTTCTAGCCCGCTGTCCCCGCAAGCAGGCTCAGGACAACTCAGTATTTAAATATACAAATATTAAAACCCAAATCACAATTTTTAAAACCCAAATCACAATAGAACAAGTGATATCGACAGCAACAATCGATGGTATACTGTGTACACTTGATTTTTCACTGTATGAATAATTCTCACGTTAACTTCAACACATGTACAATTGAATGTGTAACTGAAACCTCACATTCATCCAGGTACTGGTCCCTGGCTGTATTTCAAATGTGGATGTGTGTTCACTTTAATGTGTGAACAGGGCTAGCAAGAGAAATGGTTGGTCCCAGCTTGTGCTGAATCAAAGCCAACCCCCAGAGCCAGCAGGGACAGACACAGAAAGAGAAACACACAGAGACAGAACAACGAGAGCACATAGAAGACAGGACGTACACATGGGCCCATCGAAACAGACACAATTAGAGATGCCAAGTATGCGTTGGAAGATACCTGGAGATTTGGGGTGTGGAGCCTGGGGAAGGAGAGGTTTGGAGAGGAGCAGGATTTTAGTGAGATATAACGCCATAGAGTCCACCCTCCAAAGCATCCATTTTCTCCAAGGGAAATTATCCCTGTCACCTGGAGATGAGTTCTAATTCCTGGAGATCTCCAGGCCCCACCGGGAGGTCAGACGGGGCAAAGGGCTCAAGGAATTCACTGCCACAGGCTGTGGCCAGTCCCTGTTGCTCTGCTGCCAATTACTTACCACATTACAGCCCCCAGGAGCAGCCTAGGCTAAGCA